TTTCACCTTCATTTATGCTTACTATTACAAAATAACTCAAGGACAAGTCCATAATTATCAGCAAGTTAAAGCAAGGTGGACAAGCTGCCTTCAACAGAATGAGATTTTACCTAAAGCAGTTTACGTGTCTTTCTGCTCAGCTTATCTGTTAGGGGATTGGCTAATAAAAGGATAAGGCTACTTATTGAAACCTTGCTTTCCAATTAACACATTTTCAAAGCATTAGATCAACCCCAGCCATGATTAATATACACCTGTCATAACTAATTACATTAATTCTGCACAATGATTGGGCCTGTCTTGTTGCGTCTTCTACTCCTCCTCCAGCAGTCCATCACACTCTCTGCTCTTGATTAATAGATGTGCAGTGGCACGTGACTTACACAGGGAGATCATACAAACAAGACCCATAAGAGTGTTCCTCAGCAACATTGCTATTCTATATTTGTATCGACAAACCTTTGCTTAGTTTCACCTGTTTGAATCATCCTAGTTTCATGGAGCAATGCAGTGCTATCAGCAGCAATGAAAAATGCATTTTAGGAACAACCTTGTGTCTAATCAGTGATCAATGCCCTATAATGAGAGGGGCTGCACATGAGGCCATGTTGGATTTTGTGGAAGGAGATTCTGTGATTGATGTCTACAAGAAATACTATATAATTAGGTAGTTAACATGCACCATTCAATGTCTCAATCACTAAATAAATTAAATATGGTGAAAAAAAGAGTTCACAATTGAGCAATCATGCCTCTTTAAAGGCTATGATTTGCTTGATTTTACAGATGGCAACCGGCTTTTATTTCTTACATTTTTGACTGATTGTGAGTGTTATTATATTGTCTTCCATTAAAAAATATTCTGGTCTCAATTGCCTGTCGTGATTGCCAGTGAAACACAGGATGGGAATATATATATAAACGTTTTACCAAATAAGCGATCACATTCCCTCATGTATTTATGAATCAATCATGTCAGTTCTTTGTAGGAGAAATTTTCATCATTTCTCATATTAATTATGAATTGTGTTTTTTTTTTTAAGATCACGAGCGGATCGGGAAAGATTCGTCTTATGAACAGGAGGGGAAGGTGCAGTTTGTGATTGATGCGGTGTATGCCATGGCCCATGCTCTACACAACATGCACAAAGATCTCTGTCCCGGAAAAGTTGGCCTTTGCTCCAAGATGGATACTATAAATGGCACAATGCTGCTCAAGTACATTCGTGATGTCAACTTCACAGGTTGGTAGGAAGCCTCTACAGCTGCATGCATATGTGTATTTACCATAAAGTACAAGTTGTTCATGTGTAAGAGTGTATATGGTATCATAAGAAGTCGCTGGAGCACACTGTATCATTCTTAGTCATCTGTGTGGTGTTACCTGGAGCAACTTGTATATCCTATTTTGGACTCACTAACTTGCCCATGCAGAGGCTTTGTCAGTGTACAATGGTCTCTAATTATCAGGCTACTGAATGTAAATGACTCGCAGCAAGTATAGGGGGCTGAGATCTGTAGGAGGGGTTGACAATCAGCAGCAGAACAGTGTGAACAGTGCTTTGTGAGATTTCCCGCCTTATCTTGTCAGCACTGAATTACCCACGCAAAAGATCTTCTGCATTTAATGTGCTGGCTGCTGAGTAAAATAAAATGACATGGGAATGAGAGGAGGAAGAGACAAGACAAGACAGCACCAGCAAAAACAGGCATCAGGAGTTTGCCAGTAGTTATCCAATGTTAACTGAAATTCAATGGTTTAGTGTTGACAAAGATAGTATGCAGTTATCTCTGACCAGGTCACATAAGTGACACTTGTATTCTATAAGTATTATTCCTAATTCCATTTAACTAACAGAGAAAGACCGACTGAGCTGCATTTTCTCTTCCTCTTTCTGTAAATAAAGCACTGATGTGGTGTTTATATTCTGACCAGACGATATATTTTTTTTGCAGTTTGCACAAGAATAACAAAGAAAGCGGAACTGTTGCAGACACCAACAATGTATATGCTTTTGCTATTAATTTACTTTTGGAAGGCATAATAAATGATGAAGTGTTTAAGGTAATGAACATGATAGAATATTCAGAAAGCGTGACCAAACAGATAATTATAATCGTTAGGCTTAAATATGCAGTCTAAAAATACATGAGTCTACAAAAGCGACAATATAATATACGATAGCAAGGAGTAAGATGCACTTTGAAACGTAATTACAGGCTTACATGTACTGGAAAAGAAGCATACATAAGGAGTCCATTGAAGCTCATGTGTATGAATTTGATCCAATGGCTAGAACACGAGTGTACGCCACACAGGGTTTGACTTAGGTCAGCATTAGCAGTTATAACAACTTGAGATAATTGTCAGTCAGAGGAGCAGAAGGTCATGGTGTCCATGCAATCAAGCAGAATGCAACAAGACCAGTTGGACACATTCTTAAACTTGCTCCACCATCAGCAATGATTATACAGCAAAGGATACATTTAATTGTAATACAATTACACAGTGGGATCTTTGGGTGAGGGGCAGTTGCATCGCAGTGAGTACATGGTGGGAGTAACTGACAGTAAATAAGAAAAAACAGGAGCTTTAGGATGAAAAAACACCTACCCACTGCTGCAAGTGCTCCAAGTGTTGGAAAACAAAACATCAGGTCCCACATTAACAATTCCTACTGGTTGGTCAACATTTGAGGGGAAAGCAGTATAAATCTAAACTAGGCTCTCTGATGGTAACTGTTATTGTCAGACAAATCACTGTGCTAGCAAATCCAGATACTTGATTACAAAACAATTGCACAAATGCAAAAAATGCAGGTAGTTTGGACTTGATATTCCATGAAGGGCTGTGTCGTAACGCCTCTGCAGAGCCACAGTAGGGGTTGGCAACAGCTGGGATCAATTTTATTGGCAACTATACTGAGGGAAAAAAAGACATTTACTAAAGAGAACATTGCAAACAATACTATAAGGATGTTTTCAATGTAGTCAACATAACCTTTATTGTTGGGGATAATAAAGGTCAACTTGACACTAAGGTTTGCAGCACATACTCTTCACAAAGAATACATATGGAAAGGAAACTGCAGTGCTCTGCATTGTTTTACTGAAGGCCACATCTTCAAAGTCTTAACATTGTTTACCTGTTCCTTGGTGAACTTATTACTATGTAAAAGGGTCAGTTCTCATTTGTGTAAAATAAAGGAAAAGAAAAATGTTTGGAGTAGTTTTCCAAAGTCATATTTGTTTAAGTTTTACAATATGGATCAATTTAATGGAGTATAGCTTTAATCTGAAAACACTGTGTAACCAGTTTGTGTTATAGAATTAAAGTCTTTATGCATTCCTTTTTTCATGTCCAAGCCTTATTTTACTGGAAGGCTTGTCAGCACTGAAGCCATTGGGGTAACAACAGGGACGGCTAGAAAATCAATGCCACACATTACCGGCATAGTCTTGCTTTTAAGAATCGTTTGGCTCAAAAGGGATGGAGAATTTAAAAGGTTCATAGGAAAAACAGCAGGAAACTCTACATGATCCCAGTGTATTCTGGGAATTGTCTATAGTATGTCCATGCTGAGTAAAGGAAAGAGGAAACCAAAGCACTACAGATATTGTAGATGACATTGCTACTTATCGATGCATGTATTAAGATTACAGTCGCAGCGAGGCTGAAGGAGAGTGCAGCTGCGTAAATTCAGAAAAATTGCACACACTCAGCGGTACTTGGGGCCATTTTGTCCTGATGATATTTTGTTTTGCGACGTTACCATCTATGACCAAGTGATCAAATCAAACATTACAAACGGTGAATTAGCAGTGTGAAAAAGATTTCTTGTGCAGAAAACAGAGAATCTTTCTAGTGTTAAGAACCACGCAAACTATCAGAGGATGTCCAACTCCTAAGATAATATATAGTAGACATATTTATCAAATACAGCAAATATTACTGTTTGAAAGCCTAAACCATTCTTCAGATCAGTAATATAAAACTCTGAAAACATAATCAACCCCAGCATTGGCTCTGGACTCTGCCCAATGTAATGACTAATAACCATGTCTCCATTCAGAGTAGAAATAAAATACAATGTCTGAAATCTGTGAATCTTTACATTAATGCTCTACATTTATTAAGACAGTTTTATTATTGTGTTTTCTTTTAGCAAATTCCCTCAGCAAGTTCAGCAGTCAAATCTGTGACTTATTTTGAGAAGTTTTTATTCAACATGTGTAAACGCATTTCTCATTGCTTTCAGTAAGTGCTTAAAGGAGTGGAATGGTTATTCATGTTTAACTATAACAGTGACATCCTGAAAATTACTGTTTTGTTTTAAACATGTTACTGATTCTTAAGAGAAGCAAAGCACAGCTTTAAATGTGCGTCAGCCTTCAACAAACAAGCCATAAAATCAAGAAATGCATGGAAAGGTTTGGAATGAGCAGACTAGTTACGAGAGGGAAGATTTGAGCTAATTTAAATTTAAGTATCACAGAAAACAAAGCTGAGTTTCACAGCCACACCAAAAACATTAAGCATGTTATCGCCAATATGGAGTCTTCAGTGTTATTGAATTAACATAGTATTTTGATGTGACCACATCTTTTTCAGGGCATTTGTGAAGAGCTGCAGCTGGATTTTCATGGCAAAGTGAAGAGTGTTCTTATGCAGCATTTCTTAAAAAATATGAACTGGTTATTAAACAAGCAGTTTCTTAATATTCGCTGAGTGTGCATGAAAACAAAAATGCTTTCCTGCAAGTTAAGAGGTGAAACTAATCAATTAAGGCAATCAAATTAGTAGGGAAATACATCCCACTCGATTCTCTGTATTGCTGAGATAGGCGAGAAAAATCTTCATAATTACACGACTGCCTGTTGTTGTCTTAGACGTGCCCTCTAGATAATGCAGCAGGATTGTGCCCAAGCAATTATCTCCCATGGGTTTTAATCAGTCCTTTGACACACACAAAGAAGTTTCAGAGGGGAAAATAAGTATGGTCTCAAAGTCTGACACACGCGTTGGCAACTCCGGCTCACAGGTTAAAAGAACAAACATTTATTGATACTGTGAACTATTAAAGAGAAACAAAGGGTACATCTATAATTCTGTTTATTCTTATGACATTGGGGAGAAAGGTTATTATTTGTAAAATATGTGCAACTCTCCTCTAAAGTGCAAGAGCTTGAAAACACCAAGTCAAGTATATGGGCATGATGTACAGTATAACCTTTTTCTGTTGCAGTAAAACAGATTCTTATCCCTTTGATGGAGCAGCAGAATCTATTGTACACAACAACAAAACAAATTTGAAAACAGCAAACACTATGGTAGCCTCCCTTCACTAAATCCACGAAACCCTTGTTGTCTCACACCACAATTTTAAACCAAGCTGTGAAGCTGAGGAAGGGTTTGTGGGTCAACTCGGAAATAGACAGAAACAGGAAGCAGAGGGAAGAGAGAGACCTCAAAGTGGTCATCAAAATCAATGCTGTCATTCGTTAGCACTCTGAGTAGGGACCTTGCAGATAACAAGCAATGGGGCAATAAGCACAATGAAGGAGTGTGAAATGATGTGGGAACACGAACAGACAGCAGCTCTGGCCCGCCTCAAAGGACCGGGACAACATGGCTGTCAACATCTATTCGGCTAACATCATTAACACTAACAGCATTGGCTTGAAGTCCCCTTGCAGCCTCATTTCATCTCAGGGCACAGTGAGAATAAGAGAGGGAGTTTTTACTAGATTCTAGATTTAGACATTTCTAACCTCTCTTCTTTTTTGTCTGTAGGAATTGCTGGCACACCGGTGGTCTTCAATGTGAATGGAGATGCTCCTGGTCGCTATGAAATCTACCAATACCAGATGGCAAATAACACAACAGAGTACAAGATCATCGGCCACTGGACAGATCAGCTCCACTTGGACGTATGAGTTTTTCTAAATATAAGTTAAAATGTTTATGGAGGAGTAAACTTTAGGGTTTTCTGATAATGCGAGTGACTGATTTGCGCTAGTCATCAGGCTCAATATCTACATTAGGTCTCGAGCCATCAACAACAAAAAAATGATTTATATTCGTACCATATTTGGACATTAAGCATTTCATTACTAATTTAATCTACAAGAAAGACAAGGAATGCACCATACATGAGATTGGTAAAAGATGTGACTTTCCATTTGTATTTATTTTCCTTCTAAAGTGCCAGAGCCATCTCTTGATGTGCAACCATTATATGTGACATTTACAGCAAGGCTAATATTGCTACACACAGTAGATGGTATTCACCTTCTCATAACATATCACTGTTATCAAAGATTATGCAGAATGCATCTTCCTTTTGTCAAGTTTTACAGAGCAGCAGCCGACAGCATAATATTATTAATAAATCCTCCTCTTTCCTGTCGCCTTTACAAAGTGTAAACACACAGGCAAACAAATGCTTAGATCCGAAACATTTCCACTGAAAATGCACATTAGTTAACAATGGAATTGCCGCATCAACCTTATTTTGCCATTGTGGAGTCGATTTAACCAGTTTCCTCTTCAACATATCATATGGAACACAGAATCTAAGTGTTGCCTATGTTTACATCAAAACTGCTTAGTTTCAAACTTTGTGAGAAGCAATCTTTGAAACAATATTGAGGAACATGTATTATTTTCATGAGAAGCATAATTTATACATGAACCCTCAGGCATTTTTATTTTGTTAATGTGCATACTGCAGGTACAGTATTTATTTTAGACATGAATGTTTTGAGTTACTACTGCACTCAGATCCACTTAGCAGCTTCACACGCATGGCACTAAAGTCCAAAATAATTCAAGAAATCCATATGAAGATATTCTAAACCACAAAACTAATCATCCAGGTATTTGTTTCAATAACTAAATACTCCGTATCTAGACCATATTCAACTTAATAAGGTCGGAATAAGTATTGTGTTCTGACAATAAGTTCCATGCAACAGTACGGGCAGATGTTACCGCCTCGCACTGCGTTGACACTGCAGTCCCACGAAGCTCGACTCTATTTACTTAACGTTATTCAAGTACAAGAGACATTCCACGGAATCAATTAAACAGCAGTCATTTCCAATAATTCAGTGAGCTTATACAATGATGTATTACAAAACACCACTTTCATTTGGTGAATATGCGATTTACAGTTTGTTCATTCTATTCTACCAAATCTAAATTGAATTTTGTGGTCATGCATTATGTCATGAACTAATTATACTGAGTTAGTGAAACAATATGCATCAGTGTTTTACTACACTTGCCCTCAAAGGTTATTTTGATGATGCTTTTTAATTTTGAGTTGATTATAAACTTGTCCAAGTGAAAATTCTGAGCAACTGCATTATTTTGTTTTTTCAGGTTGTATGTGAGTTATGGTGTTGATATGGTGAAATTCCACAAAACCATGATGTCCTGTCTCATACTTTTGCCTGCAGATCAATGAGATGCAGTGGCCTGGTGGAACACAAGACATCCCAACCTCTATTTGCAGCCAACCTTGCCGTCCTGGCCAGCGCAAGAAGACAGTGAAGGGAATTCCATGTTGTTGGCACTGCGAGAATTGTGATGGGTACCAGTACCAGGCCGACACTTACACCTGCAAGATGTGCCGATTTGATTTGCGGCCTAATGAGAACCACACTGGCTGTGATCCCATTCCCATTGTTAAGCTGGAGTGGAGCTCCCCCTGGGCAGTCATCCCTGTGCTAATCGCTGTCTTCGGCATCATGGCCACATTGTTTGTGGTCGTCACCTTTATACGCTACAATGACACACCTATTGTTAAGGCATCAGGTCGAGAGCTGAGCTATGTGCTGCTGACGGGTATTTTTCTGTGCTATGCTACAACATTCCTCATGATCTCCACTCCTGATGTGGTAATATGCTCACTGCGACGGATTTTCCTGGGCCTGGGTATGAGTATAAGCTATGCAGCACTGCTCACCAAGACAAATCGGATCTACAGGATTTTTGAGCAGGGCAAGATGTCGGTCAGTGCCCCACGATTCATCTCCCCAGCATCCCAGTTAGTCATCACTTTCAGCCTGATATCAGTGCAGCTCCTCGGAGTGTGCATCTGGTTTGGTGTTGACCCGTCACAAGCTATCATCGACTACGAGGACCAGCGTACAACCAATCCCACAATGGCCCGTGGTCTTCTGAAATGTGATATATCAGACCTGTCCCTCATCTGTCTGCTGGGTTATAGCATGCTGCTGATGGTCACCTGCACGGTTTATGCCATCAAGACCAGAGGGGTTCCCGAGACATTCAACGAGGCCAAGCCCATCGGATTCACCATGTACACCACCTGCATTGTGTGGCTCGCCTTCATCCCCATCTTCTTTGGGACCTCACAATCAGCAGAAAAGGTACTGGCTGATACTTCCACACTAACATTTCACATGACACAATGCTCAACATTTGCACAATTCATGCAAATAGAACTCTGACACAACAGGTAAAACAGGAGCAGAGCATGTAAACCTTTTCAATTAAAATTAGGAACTAAAATATGAGAATAGTATTTTGTCAATTATCCAACCAAGTTTGATCCCTTCTTACAGTTTATATTGTGTTGTCCGTGTACACAAGCCAACACACCCACTAAGGTTTCAGCAGTTTTATGTTATCTACAAAAAGGACAGTGACAGCAAGTGATTTAAATCCACTTGTGCATTTAGGGAGCCAGTTTTCCATTTAGACTATTTATACCTTCTTTGCGTCTCATTGTGAAGAAAATGGCCTCTCAAATCATGCTTGTTGTATAGGATCAGCCTTTATTCATCACGACATGATGGGCTTTGTGCTCCACTGTGGGGATTACGAGGCTTTTAGAGTCGAGTTGTGAGGATAACTGATTGACCAAAGTTTTCTGGCATGTTTGCTTTGATTGTTTTTCTGTGCGTGATTCAGCTTCACTGGGTGGAGATAATGAGTAGTCAATCACTGCACATTCATTCACACAAAAAAAGATAGTTTGTGAAGTAGCATTAAATTACAGTATTTCTTCCCAGTGTGAAGTCAATCACAAATTACCTCCAATAGTGGTAATTTGTAGTTGGTTCAACACAGATGCACAATAAAGACCAGACAGTTCTCTTCCTAAGGATTATTTTTACTACCACAGCCCATTAACATCTTCTGATGAATAGCCTTTTTGTGCTTTCCACCTGCCAATTAAAACAGTTTGTAGCTTTAGTCATGTTTTTAAGCTTTAAGTCCTTTATTCTATGTACAGAATGACAATTTAAACCCTATATTTAGCAACACAAGAATACATGTGGAATTACCCTGTGGCAGAAACCAGTATCCCTCATTGGCAGATGTGTTTTTAGTCGATTGGGTCAAATTCCTTAAGCATCAGCAGACAGTAAGGCTGCTGGCTAATGCTACGTGACTACTGAGCTGGTGACTTTTTAATATTTTCTGAAACCTATATCTAAGCTGTTGGCAGAACACCATAGGCAGAAGGAATATTCTTTTTAACTTGTTTATCATTTTACATCAACACAGCACAAGGCTTTCCCGTGTGCTCTGTGACAAAGTAAGGAGCTCCCTGGATATAAATACAGCTGGGGATGAGACAAGCAGCTAATCCATAAATAATCTCTATTATATATTTCATTTCTTCATCTCTGCCACTGAGGAGCAGCTGGATAAACTGAGTTCAGAAATCACTCTCAACCCAACAGTGTTCCAATAAAATCAATTTGGAATTTAGGCAGTTTGAAGACTTGAAGGTCATTTACAAAAGAAAACTTGCAATCAAATCACAAACTATTAAGTATTACTAACAAACACAGGGTTAAATTTGGCACTTTGTTTCATTTTCCAGTTTTCAGAGAAGGAATTTGGTTTATATGCCATTCACCTAGTGTTGTCTTGTATGCACCATGTGACTGTCCAGAAATTGTATATTGTAATACTTATTCAATAATCAAACCATCAATAATTAAACAAGTGATCCCTGTAGACCACATTTGACTTAACAGGCCTTTGTACAGCAGAAACCTATAGCACAGGTGATACATGACACATTAACAATGGCTGAGTTTAACTAAGTTTCTCAGTAACCCACATTCACTATGAAAAAAATGACAAGCATCCTGGATGGAATATAGTTGTATGCAATGTAATGTTATTCATTTCAAATTTGCGTTTAATTCCATGACATGAAAAGAAAAATATGCAGTGAAAAAAGTCTACAGGCATTTCTCACAGCTCATATTTTGACTTGCCATAGTAGGAAAAGCACCGGCGCTACTAATTACTGACATTAATGATGGCTTCATAATTCTCACATGTCCCAGAAAGTGAACGAGCCTGAAACCAAAGTAGCCACATGGAATTAATTATTCGTATTATTTACAACTTTTCTTTTTAACGATGACATGTTAGCCATATGGTGTCCTTGGGCCAACAAGAGATACACAAGATAAAATATTTGTCCAGTAATTTATTCTATGTTCAGAAAACCTTAACCCTGAATAATTATATAAAAGAACTTGGGAGGAGAAGTGGATGTGTGTTTCTGCTGTCGAGTTTTGCGTGCAGATAGGAACAGCTCTGGCAGCTGTCTGCACATGAGATCTGATGCCTAATAACAAAAAGGAGCAATCCAGCTTCACATAAACTTCATAATGGTTCAGCTCGCTGAGGTTGCTGTTCCCAGCCCTGTTCTCTTGCTGTACCGATGGAGCAGATTGGCAATCATATCGACGTGTCAGAGAAAATTTATGTCAACGGGGCCGATAGAAGTGGACAAGGGTCTTGGCTCCCCTCACAGAGTGACTCCACTCTGTACTCCAGAGGGGTAACAATATTGTTCTGTACTCACCCCAGGCCACATGTAATCTTCTCAGGAGATTACAGCACTCCCTGTCTATTGCAGAGAAAGGCTCCTGTTCTGCTTGCTGTATGACAGAATACAAAGCCCCATCCCTTCCATTTAGCACTGACATTATTTTTCTCAACTAACATTTTATTAGGATGCTTAATTTTCAAAATAGCTTTTTGTTTTAATCACATCAACATCATAGTCACTGTATGAGAAATTCTGTTATTTCTTTACTTTGGTAGATGCTTTCTCACTTGTACTGAATGCATACCAAAAAAAAACAATGTCCTAGGCATGCAAAAAATTGTGTGGCTGCATTGCCCTTTTGTAAACATAGGTAGTATGATTATAACTCCATACTGACATTTAGCTAACGCTTAAACTTTCATGATGACAAAAAAAGGTACTAAAGTTCATGATGCTGAAGCGTCAAAAAACTCATATACTAACAACATATGTCATAGCCCCATATTGGGAAACATCATCCATTACTGTTGACATGCTGGCATGGTGCAGAGCGCTGTGGGCTATTCCCATGCCAAACGACTCAGTCATTTGTGATGTCTGAGAATGTAATGTCAGACAAAACCTCAGGCAAAAGTCCATGAAGGATGTCTGCCAGCTGTGTTTCCACTGTACACTATTCGCCCTGCGTTCATCGGGCAGCAATTTTCAACCAAGAGGTGAAATCAGTTGTTGTCCTCTTCCTCCTTTTTTCTAATTATTGTTTCTGACACTTTAGTACTGGGTACAGACGGCGTACGAGCTCTGTGAATTAACCCTTTAAATCTGTGAAGAATTGACAACTTCAACCTGAAGAAATAATTGTTTTCAAAATGATCTTCTGTATTTGGTCTATGCAGCTTGTCAGTATCAAGTGTCAGTTTTAAATATGATCTAGTTATATTTTTACAGCCACTGCAGTGACTCACCTCAATCCCTGCATCAACAAATCAGAGATGGACTGTGTATGAGCACCGGGGTGATTATCATAAATGAAAAATCATTGGCAGCCACTTTTAATGTGCTTTAGGATGTTTTTTCTGCTCCTTCATTGTTGCCTGTGGCTATATATCTGCTACCCAGCTGTGAGTTGCAGCTGTTATAGACCTCAGAGATTAAATCCTTATGCTGTAAAAACATTTATCCACAGAAAACTTAGACAACCATAAGATAGGAGGAGGTTCTTCTATTAGTTGCATATCATAAATTAACAAACACAGCAATGAAAATGGAATTTAGAAGTGAAGAAACTAGCATAAAAGAATGTGAATAAAGGGCAGTGTATGCAAATGTAAGTGCTTTGTTTGTGAATTTGTAGTTAGGTGCAACCACTACCTTTACTATACACATAATATACGACTTTTGTCTGTCCTACAGGAGTCTTTTTTTAAACTGCAGGCTCACCCTTCAGTACCGTGTGCTGTGCTTAACCTGACAGTCTAAAACAACAACAACCACTGCCTATCACTGAGTTTAACCTAAACAAATGATTATGTTTTGTCTCTTACACAATACAGATGTATATCCAGACCACAACCTTGACCATCTCCGTAAGCCTCAGTGCTTCTGTCTCTCTGGGAATGCTCTACATGCCCAAGGTCTACGTGGTTCTCTTTCATCCAGAGCAGAACGTACCCAAGCGCAAGCGCAGCCTGAAGGCTGTAGTCACTGCAGCCACCATGTCCAACAAGTTCAACCCTAAAGGTGGCCTGAGGCCCAATGGAGAGGCCAAGTCTGAACTCTGTGAAAGTCTTGAAACACAAGGTTAGTATCACGACTAATGGAGCAATAAAAAGAAGAAAAAGTAACAGCAACAAAAAAAACTCAACCAAGAATTTATCCCTATAATGTATTGAATGGTTTCTGTGAGAAATGGTTGCAGATAAGGTACAATATATATATATATATATATCACAATACAGTACACCATTTGAAAATAATTAACTAACTTTAAGTGACAACACAAGCGATGACAATATTACGAGCTCAGTTAAGTTCTGTTTCAGTACCAGCTGTCAGTGACCAAGTCTGGACTCAGTGTTTCTCATTAATTACCTGGACGATGGCAGGCGACCATAGTCTAATTTGTCCTGTCACAGGTTCATAATGATCCCAAATATGTTTACGCTTCTCATTATGACAGTGTGCATGTTCTCCCTGTGTTTGTCTCTGGGTGTGACACCTTCCTCCTACAGTCCAAAGACATGCAGACTTGGGTTTGATTCATTTAAACTCTTAATTGACCGTTGGCTCTGTGGTGGGCTGGTTTTAAGGATAAGCGGTGTAGATATTTCTCTCCCACAATTGTATTAACCCCTCTGTCATATTCAGAGTGGCCATCGGCAGCATCCGGAGAAATCCCACCCAGTTAGTGGCCCGGTGGACTATATAAATATCCATCAAGTTTTTATCTTCATCTGCAGGCAGGCAGATCTCAGCAAACAACATTGACAGTTTGTGCTTTAGCTGAGCACATTCCATATACCCCGGAAAACATGTATCAGCAAGCAGGCAGAACTCAGCACAAGCTGTGTACCTGTCATTAGATTCTATCTGCAGCTACTTCCACAGATAAAATCTAATTATATTTTGAAACACTGATAGCTGATTAGCCTTTAACAAGAATAGTGTTCCTAATAATTAAAATTGTTTAGTGTAAGGTTAAACATAGGTAAATAACCCACAGGTTAATATGTGCAATATATATATATCTTCTTTTATCGTCCAAGATGCAATACTATTATAAATATGTTTCTCACTGAAAATATAAGAAATGCTTTTAAAAGGTAGAAAGCCACTGTTCACTTTCACCGGGATAATCCAGTATTTTCAATACATGGGAGAGAATAATAGTTTCATTCTAGCTTATTCTCACCACAGTGGATTTATAAATTGTGACGCGCGACAGGGTGACCACACTATTCTGATTTTGAAAGGGACGAAAGAGATGTGTTAGCTCAGTGTTGAATAGGAGACTATTTCAATCACTATGATAAAGTGTAAGAGTAGGCAGTCCCTGTGTGGGGGCAGGTTTGGATCCAATCAAGCAACCCCCATGTTCTAATAACTGAAGGTCCTGATTTTACACTCTGACAAGCTGCACACTATAGAATGATGTGTATTACCACTACAGAGCCTGTGCCCTCACTTTCTAGCATGCCTTTTTTTGACGTGAGAATGAAGTTGTTAATTCCATCATATTATAGAGCCCTTTTACAGGTGCTGATTCTCACCCTCTGGTTTGAACTGTGAATCTAACAAATGTTCTTTGTGCTTATGTGTCAGACTGTGTTGAGGGAGGGGAGCCTTGTGAGGGACTTTAGGCTCTCAGGTAACCTAATTAGATAATGATTTTGCCCTTTTACTATCTGTGACCACTCTTTTTACCCGGTGAATTTCTGCCAATGTTCACCAGAACACCCATGCCTGCATATACTATGCACAAAGCATCACAGTTGCCCCTGGCCAATATACAACACCCTGAATGACACAGCACAGTAATCACGCACATTTACAAATTCATCTCTGACCAATAGACATTGACTTGAATGGACAATATAAGTGTGTGGCACTGTAAAAATGGCCAATCAGCATGGTAAAGCCTGTTAATGTGGGAAGATGACACCACTCTGCCTGAGTGCAGGAGACAAGCGATAGCCATGTGTCCCCTATAATTTGTTTCCCTGTTGACAAAAGGAGGAATATGTGGTAATGGGACAACAACAACAATAAGAGTGAACAGGAAAAGACAGATGGGTCTGCCAGCTCCAATTCTTTCTGGACCATCTATTCTTTATCTTGGCCTCGCAGCACATAAATATTCAAATAAGGTTCATTTATCAATGCTTCTCTTGGAAGAGATGCTTTGGATGAAATGGCGAGAAAACCGCCCCCATTCACACATGAACGTGGCACTGACAAATATACGGAAACATTTACCATTACAGAGCTCTACTCTACAGCACTTTTGCCCTTACTCTGGCTTTCTTCTGATTGGATTCATCCCCTCTGACATATTCAATCAGCCAAGGCTGCTGTGGGCAGATTGGCAGATTGGTAGTGTGATTACCTCCACGGAGCATGCCCGCTGAGGACAATCTTATTTTAAAAAATGACAAACAGGTACATGCTGACACTTGCACACAGACGTGTGTGCAGACAAGCATGACTGCACGCATCTACACAGGTACTGTATGATATGACAGTGACGTTTGACCAGCAGTTAGCTTCTTATGGTCTCTGTGGTCTGCCCTCTGTTCATCTGTCTAATGTGTTTTATTCACAGCCGATATAAAATCCCTTGATACGTGAAAACATTCAAGAATAATGAGCATTTATCAAAAATTGATGAGCAAACTTGTAGTGCCAAGTCAGATCACATATTGTCTTAATATCATTTTACATCTAATATGCTGTTCAAAACAGTGTCACACTGACTGCTGCTGCATGCTTTGCTTGGTGCACAGAGAAATCTCAGGTCTTTGCATGTGGTAAAAGACTTGCATATGAATGAGTCCTGTTGCATTTTATACTAATGTTGTGATCTGCTTGGTGATTTTTGAGACAATTTCATGATATAATCAGCTGTGAGGAAAACATTAACAGTTTTCCTTAAGTCAATGAATAGCAGGTACCTATGACCATCGCCTCAGCCACTGATTCTGAATCTGCATCAGTGTGTTGAATAATTTGTTGGGGGTATGTTGTTAAAATTCCTGAGGTATTTATGTGCTTTAGAAATTAATGGTTCAATCTCAGCATTCATTTT